ACAGCTGATCTTGGTTCCAAAATGGCCGCTAGGTCCCCAAAATGGCAGCCGCAACCATTTTCACGTGGTTTCCTCGCTTATCGAGGGGACGAAAATGGCAGCGCTATGGAGGAACTTCGCATAACGGTGAGTTTGGGCCCCAAGTTTAATGCGTTCCTATGGGGTTTTTAGTTCCGTTTTGCAATGTTCCCGCATAGCGACGATTAATCCAGAACGGATTAACGTCGCTATGCGGGGCACCACTGTACTTAACTGAAAACTACCTATACCCAACTGAACAGAAAGGAAACTTTAAAAAGTCAGGAGTCATGAAAGATCAGCTGCTTATTGATAAAATGATCCTGAAGAATGCAAAAAGACAAAAAACAAACCTTAACATGGCCTGGATAGACTATAAAAAGGCATTTGATTCATTTCCACACAGCTGGATTAACACCTGCCTAAAAAATTGGGATTAGTAAAAACATTCAGAAGTTTCCCCCCCAAAAAACATGGAAAAATGGAAAACTGTTTGACTGTGCCTGGTGTTTTTTCATCATCATCATCATCATGACGAATAAATATCTGGAAGTTCACTTCTTCCTATGTTCCTACCCGGACATACCTCTCTGGGAGCCAAAGTTCAACATGCAATCATGGAAAGTCCTCAACTGAGGAGAGCTGGAGACCTCAATTGGCCTGCCAATGTCATATATAGACTGTAGGGTGTGTCTCAAAGTGGCATATATGTCAAAATGTGCAGTCATTTTATTACGTTTCCTTTTATTTCTTCTAGTCTGCATTTCTTTTCATTCTTCTTGATGTTGTCGTTATATGTCACCAGGTCACCTCCAACATACGGTATCACAACCCCACAAATGAGCAATATCCAAAATGTCCTGTCCTCAACAGCCATACTGAGCCACATTGAGCTCTTGCAAACTTGACCTTGTGGCTTCCTTTAGGGAATCAGTCCATCTCCAATTTGGTCTTCCTCTTTTTCTGCTCCCTTCAAACTTTTCCAGCATTATTGTCTGTTCTGCAGAAGCTTGCCTCCCCACAGTGTGCCCAAGGTAGTGTTGGAGTAATGTTTTACAAAGAGCATTTCTGCCCAGTAAAGTTACAAGAGGGAAAAACAGGCAGGTGAGATTGATGAGTTTAATTGGCCTTGAGAAATGATGAGTGCCTCTGAATAAGATCAGTATAAAAGAAGCAATAGCAGTAAGAGAAAATGGGGGAGGGGGCTGGGCTGGCAGGAGCAGATGAAGGAGCGGCAGAACGAAGCAACAGAATGAAGATATACTGCCAGATGAAGTGAGAGGAGTCAGCATGGATATTTCCTCATGGGTGAGAGAAAACAGAAAAGAAACTGTTAAAGGATTAATGAGCCCTGAAATTACAGAGGCTACAAGCAACTAATTTAAAAGCAAATAGAACAAGTAATAAGCAATGAAAAGCTGTTATACCTTTTGGACTATGTAAAAAGAAACATTTAACTGACATGAATTAAATGTGAATCATGCTTTTGTAGAATAAATAACTTTAACTTTATTCAAGTTAAGACTCTCTGCTGATTCATTCTGCACATAAATATATATACAAAGGGGACTACAAGCCCCAGTTCAAACATTTCTGCCTGCAGAGATGGTTCAGGCTCGATGCCATCTAAGACCCCCTTGTTTGTATTCTGGCAGTCCAGGGTCATCTCCCCAAAGCTCTCCTCCAGCACCACATTTCCGGGGGGGGGGGACTGCCTGGAGGGGATTGAGCATCCGAATGCTCCTGCTGTTCCTCTCTTGCCTGAAATCAATGCTTCTGCAAACCTCCGCAGATCGTCTGAAGCCCCAGGGTCTCTTGATCTCTTTTCCCCCTTTCTTCGACTCAGATGCTCAATATGTGGAATCCACGGTGCCTCCACCGTTTACCTTTCATTTCTGTCTTAATTGAGAAATTCCATGTCATCCAAAAGAAGGCATCTTCTTAACTCTGCTATCCTTTCCGCTCCTCCTGTCTGTAGGAGGCACTCCCTCGACTATTCTTTAAATCAGTTTCTATTCTTTTGCCCTGCTCAGAAGAAACGCCCTCGCAGCACAACACAGCGCAAAAAGAGAACGGGTCACCTGACAGGGCTTCCTCGGGGGAGGGGGCCTCCTGCCTCCCTTTTCTGGCTGGGGTCCAAGTCTCACTCCAGCACTAGAAGTGGGAAGGAGTCCATTTTTGGTTGGGAGATTCTCCCTTCCTTCCCATCATGGGGAGCAACCCACCAACTCCAAATAGGGAAATGGGAAGGCTCAACAACATTGGATCCCCTACATTTCCCAGCTCCCCTACCATGGAGCGCAAGGCTCTGGGAACCCTGGGAAACATAGCAGCCATCACAGTCTTCCATGTGCCTGAGGATGGGGGGGCAGGTATGCCGAGGGGGAGACCTCCCTACTCCCCCACTGCCGCAGCCAGAGCCGGAGGCAGTTTAGCAGGTGGGAGTGGGAGGGAGGGGCCTCCACGGGTGGGAAGGGGGCCGTTCGGAAGGTAGGGACCACTCAGAACGGTATCCAAAGTATATTCCAAACAGGGAGATTCCTGGGCTTAGGGGCCTAAATTATCCCAGGGGCAAGCATGATCCTGGTCGTGGGGCAGACTTGGATGGAACCGATGGGAGACTGAAGTCCAGCTACTTGGGGGAGCCTGGCCAAAAAGGGAGGGGTCTGCTGAGAACATACAGGGTCCTCGCTATGTTGTGTTGACATTAAGCTGATGCTAGAGGGGGCAAGTGTGGGAAGACCCAGAACTGCACTCTGACAGCACTTACCTGCAATTTTAGAAATACGCTGTTTTGTTTTGTTTTAAATATATGAAAATCCAGTTTTAAGAACTGGAATGTCAGGTTCAGCAGCAGCAGCAAGAAGATCATCTGATTTGGGATCTGTGTCTTTGCTTTTCTACTGGAAGCAGGCTTTTGGGTCATGATAAAAGTTTCTTTGGTTAATGTTACGAAGGCTGGTTGTGGAGCCAGAGGTTGGGAGTTGAATTTCCCAGTGGGTCTTCATGGAGGAAGAGCCAGCCTGTGTCGCCTTGGGCAAGCTCATCACATGCCAAGCAGGGCTTGATAAAGTTGCTTTTCTTGATTGCAGCTCAAACAATTCTCCTAACCAGCCTAGCCATAGGTCAGGATCCTTCGATGTTAAAATGAGGTCACAACCAGCAGAGGTTTTGTTTCTCTGCAAACTAAGAGGCAGTTAACAGTCAGGCCAGGCCTTCAACTGGTCAGGATGGATCTTCCTGTTAGGTCAGGATGAAGGTTGAAGGTGGGCTACATGGCCTAGCGAGGAACCTAGAGGAGTGAGCAGGAGCTTAAAAATCAATTTATTTTGAAAAGCTTCAAGGTCCCCTTGTACTAATAGTCAACTATCCATTTTCTTTAAAGATGCTCCTGAAATTATTAATTCCTGAGAGTTAATTAAGCTGTTGATATGGAAAATATCAATATTGATATTGATCTTGCACCATTGATCCTGCAATGCACCTTAAAGTCAAAATGGGTCAGTTAACTGAACAAAAAATAGCCTCTTTGGGTCTCTCTAGGTTGACTCTGTTAACCATGGGAATGGAACAGGCAAAGAAAATAATCAAACAGCTATTGAGGAAATTGAGTGACAAAATGATTTAAACAGTGCCCCAGAATTCTACCCCAGAATTCACTATTGAGGAAATTGAGTGACAAAATGATTTAAATAGTGCCCCAGAATTCTACCTTCAGGAAGATAATTTATATAAGGTCACAGCAGCACCTTATTTTACCCAGTTGGAGCAGCCCAGGTGTAGAAGGGCATTTACTCTGGCCTGGCTTAATGCACTACCTTCAGCAGTGCAGGAGGGACAGTATAAAAAGACCCCTGGGCAGAGCACCTTTGCCCATGAGGAATGGAGCAGATAGAAACAATTGAACATGTCCTGTTGCAGTGCACATTTTATAAGGATGTACATAAAGAACTTGTGTCATCACATCCTTTTTGTTGTATGGCTTGTAATAACAACATACTGTACCAAGCTAAGCTTGCTAAAGTTACATTTTTCGGACTGCTGCTCCCACCATTCCCCTAATCAGCATAGCTACAGGCCACAAGAGACTCTTCTTCTGGTCCCTGAGGAGGTCAAGGATCTAGGTTTTGCTTATAAGCTAAGCTTTACAGTATGTATTGTCTTTAGATAGAGATATATGCATATACATAATTACACAGATTAGTGGGTGATTGCAGTTGGTGCGGAAATAGCCTAGTGTCATGAGTTCAGCCAAAGAAGTTCTGGCATCTGAGGGGTTAATTTCAGCTGTGGAAAATACTGGGCAATTAGAAGCACAGACAGATGAATCACCACCAGATTCTCCTCCCCCATTAGCAAGAGTGAGGGACAAGCTTCGGCAAAGATTCATGACATGAAGATCCAAAGCTTGCATGAATGCTTCTCACAGGAACATCAGATCGAGCAGTCCTGGGTTTTAGCAGGATGGAAGGCTTCTAGGAGTTTGATGGTTGCTGCTCCTGTATAATTTGTACCTAGAAGGCTTAGAAATCTGTGGAAACAGCAAGTTCATTCTTATTTGTACCTAGAAGGCTTAGAAATCTGTGGAAGCAACAAGTTCATTCTCTGGCTTGCGCCCACGTTCCTGCTATCTTGAACCTTGCTTGCTTGACCCTTGGCTCTTGGACTCTGACTTCTGACTACGCTTCATGTTTTGGCTTTGACAATTTGGCTTATTGGACTCTGACTTCTGACTATGGTTCGTGTTTTGGCTTTGACAATTTGGCCTATGTTTTGTATCTCCCGGACTTCTGACTTTGGACTGACTTATTGGACTTTCGCCTGCTGTATCCCCTGGAAACATGACACCTAGACCAAAGAGAAACATAATCCTCTGATGTCATAATGAGGTCACAGCCCAGAGAAATTCTGATCCTCTGATGTCAGAATGAGGTCACAGTCCAGAGAAATTCTATTGCTCTGCAAGCGGAGCAACAGTTAACAGTCAGGCTGAGCCTTTGCCTCGTCAGGATGGAGCTTCACCATAGATGAAGACAAGAGTTGGTGGTGGGGTATATGGAACTTGGAGAGTCACTGTGGACAGGGACTCAGGAGACCTAAGTTCAAATCCCTCCTAGGCCCTAGAAACCCTCTGGAGATAGCAAAGGCAGTCTTTTCCTTTCACAGGTCTGGGAGAGCCTTGCTTTTAGGCTAAGCTGAAGGCAGGCCAAATGAGGTCTCCAGGTCGCCTCAGTTGAGGACTTTCCATGATTGCATGTTGAACTTTGGCTTCCAGAGAGGTATGTCGCCCCAAGTAGACGTTGTCTAAGGGGTGGGGTAAAAATCGAATAAATAAATAAAATAAAAACAAATGTCAGGATAGGAACTTCTGCCCCAGGTGTCAAAAGAACATGGCCTATCCTGCATATCGCAGAACTTGATTTTACACAAGCAGGAAAGTAGTTGATTCAAAAGACTCCTTCAATGCAAAAACACTGATGAGTATTATTATATCATCCACCTACTAGGTGTAGACCAAAGATGACAGAGAAAGAAGAAAGGGCCAGAAGGAAGTGGTGGGAGAAAAGTGACATCCCCTTATCCAGCAGAAAAAAGCAACCCCAGAAAGGTAAAGCGTATAAGTTTCAGGCATCCTGTCCTAAAACCACTCCTATAAATCATCAAGAGCGGATTTATTTGGTGAGCATACCTCTTCCTTCCAAGGTGCAGATGTAGCTGGGGGTGCTGATTTCATTAAGATGGAAATATTTGGGTTTGATTCCCAGCCTTTTTATATATATATGTGTTGGAGAAGGCGTTCGTTGTGTGACTCAAACAACCACCATATGATCAATTTGCATTTCAAGGGCTTTTTCTTCTAGACAGCTGTCCGTCAGACACTGAGGCTGAGCAAGTTGCTCCTGCCGGACCAGCTTTTCCTAAGGACAATCAGCAACATGAAATGCTGTGTGATCATTTAATCAAGTCATGAATGACATGAAGAAGCTACACTAAGAACCTAGGCGAGGAACTGAGTTCAGCCATTTAATGTGCAGTCCTGCCAGTTTCTAGAAGGCTATGAATGTGCAAGAGCCAGTGTTATGTAGTGAACAGAGTGTTGAACCAGGACTCAAGAGACTCAGGTTCAAATCTCTGCTCTTCTATGGAAATTCAAAATCCCACCGAAGGGGCTGCAGGGCCAACAGTGGTTTCCTGAGCGAATGTAGACCTCTTTTACACACCTTTTTTTCTTTTCTTGAATAGGTGTCTTGGAAGAAGGTTGTGAGTCTTCCTGAACACTAAACAGACCAGACCTGCTGGAAGGATGGAAGCGAATATCAGCAGTTATTGTCATGGACTACTGTTTGCATTAGCACTGTAATCTTTGGTCTCATTCTGCTCCAGGATCCTGTTCATTCTCAACAGATTCCCTCCCTCTGTCCATCCCTCCTTCCCAACCAGTTTGAGGGACAGTGGCTCCCAGGATCGCAGCCCTTCTGAACACCTGGAATCTGAGCTACTTCCTGAAATTGGGGGATCAAGTGGGATATGTTGCAGCATCCATTTTCTTCTGGCTCTTCCAATGCCCTTAGTGTAGCCTTGAACAAGGAAAATGGGAAAGAAGGAGAGAGGGGAAAGTTTACATCTAATAAACTTTATCATTGTACTCCAAAGCTACAATCTTATGCTCATTTACATTAAAATGACTCCTGGTGGACAAAGTGGATGAATTTTTGAGCGAAACATGTAGGACTGCAAAATAAAATATAGACAGGCAGTCACAACAGCTTGACAAGGTCTGATTCCTTGCTCTGTGAACATGAAATGCAGTGCTGGCAGATTGTGGTGGCCATGTAATGGCAAGAGAGGGAGGGCAAGCCACAACTGGATAGGGGGAGAATAAAGTATCTAGGAAAAGAATATGTCTGTTTTACTAGACCTCTGAACAAGAACACTCCACACTGCAGCAGTGTGGTCATGCTTAAAAATGGATAAAACCAGAGGCTCAAACTCAGCTTAATTTTACACATACAGTCCATCCATGTGCATCTCTACTCTCTTACTCTCTTGCTTTCACATGCTCACACTCTTTTCCTCACCCGTCACATGCATACCCTTGCCATGTTCAATTCCACTTGCACAGACCTTGGCTCTTGCAAATTTCCCCATGTTGAGCTCTTGTCTAGGCTCACCTGGTCTGAAAGTCACTTCCTTATTCAACACACACACACAGTTGCCTACTGGGCCTTGCTCTCTTGCTCCCTCCCTCATTAACACTCATGCTTGCCTTCCTTCTCTTCTTGTAAGCACTGTTACGGTGCAATCCCACAGGCAAGGAGCACCACTGTTACATCAATTTAAGTGTTATTCAAATCAAATTATAATTTCTTGTGCACACAACACACTAGTGAAATCGATTTATTTGGGCTCCAAAGTGAATTATTTTCACCTGTCCAGTGGGAGGTTTTAAAAATACAGTAACTTGCTTGTAAATTGATTTAAATTAATTTGATCACCTGTCCAGTGGGAGGTTTTAAAAATAACTTGCTTGCAAATTGATTTAAATTAATTTGGTTTGGTGGGTGGACGGTGCTATCAACTTATTTTTGATAAATAAGTAAATTCATGAAATTTATAATTGAACTATTGGTAAAATCATTTACAAAAAACAGTCTGCTGCAGTCTGATTGCTATGCACCATCAAGTTGGAAATCAATGTACAACAACCTCAATAGGGCTTTCAAGGTAAGTGAGATATTTCAGGAGTGGTTTTACCAGGTCTATACCTCCAGGGAGTTTCCATGGCTGAGTGAGAATTTGAACCCATGCTTCCTGAATCCTAGTTTGTTGCTCTAATACACCACACTGGGTATCCACTGCAATTTTCTGCATGTAGATAAACAGATCGAGCTAGACTGAATTCAACTGTTAGCTTCACAAGAGAAAATCCACCCAATCAATTGTGTTAAGTCCCATTGACTCAATGACTCTACTGCATTTGGGGACTAACGAGCACTCCCAGGCTGCCCTTCTTTTTTGTAAAGCAAACTACTAGCTTCTCCACTCCAGAAGAGTTCTGGATAGCTGAGTGGTTTAGGTATCTGTCCATGGAGCCAGAGGTTGGGAGTCTGATTCCCCACCATGCCTTCTTTGACAAGGGCTGATGATCCATAGGATCCCTTCTAGCTGTGTATCATGATGAAGAAGGACTAGTGATGATCCATAGGATCCCTTCCAGCTGTGCATCATGATGAAGAAGGACTAGTTCTAATGCTGATTGGTCATTTAGGATTTGGAAGTAGTGGGCGTGAATGATTAAAAGGAGATGTAGCAACCCTGAGCAGAGGTCTCGGGGTTTTTAAAGGAGTCTTACAGGGCCCACTCAGTATCAGAATAATTGCAAATGGGCTTCCCCTCAAGCTGTTTGCTTCCCAAAATTGTCCTATGGGTGTTTTATTTTTTAATGAAACAAGATGCAGTAACATTTATGCATAGAGGAGGGTTCATTTGTGAAATCTCATTCTCTACTAATAAAAGTGACTACCGCTGGTGGTAGAGGCCCTCCTCCTCTTCTTCCTACGATTTTTATTTAAAGTAGATTGCAAGATCCCTGAATAGGGCATTTGTAACCAGGTTTTGACTAAATGAAATTTCAGCTGCTTTGCATACTCTTCCTGGCAACATGGGGAAGTCGGGAGAATAGGGGGAAGGGTTGAAGCTCATATCCTGAAACCCTCTCCTTCCCCCCACAGACTTAAGACCACATCATAAGACTTATGTAGGACTTTCATTGTCTAGTCTATCCAGTGGGAATGCTGTCTCTAAGATCAAGCCAAGTGACATTTCATTTTGAAAATACTAATGAAGGATTCTAAAATCTGCATTGGGGCTCTACCTATAGATGTTAATGAAGGATTCTAAAATCTGCATTGGGGATCTACCCCAACTATAGAAAAGTAACAAAATTGTGTAGAAGGTTTGGAATTCCCCAAAGTTGGTCAATGGTAGATACAGAAGACAGGAATAACAGAAATCTGACTGTTGCTGATGCCATGGAAACTAATGGGCAAAGTGCGAGATATACCTATTATATTCCAGCAGGCATTGTGTTGGTTTTTGGTTGTATCCAGACACTCCATCTGTTTGCTAGAATAAAAAGCAATCTAGGGTTGACAGTCCATTTTAAAACTATGTAAAATCCAGCTGTTACTAAAATCTGACTCCATACTTATTCAAAAGACTTAGCAGATCACGAGCAAGTGACTCCCTTTTACATACAGTTTTATTCCTGCTAGCTGGCACAGACTACTATATATCCTATAGGACCACTAAATTCGTTAAATGAGCCATGGAAAGATGGAATTCATTCCCTGCTTCACAGTCTCTTCAAGTTAATCTTAGAACTTGAAACTTGTCTGAGATTCCTTATTTTGTTTTATCATTTTAAGCTTTTCTGGTTCTTTATATGTATTTATATTAGATGACAAATGCTGTTTTTGTAAGAGTTGTTTAACTTCTGTTTATGTGTACAGCCTGATTGGCTATGAAGCAATAAAATATTAATAAGTCTTAGGTTCCTTAGATAGAAAACAGAAGAAGAGATGAACGAGATTGTTTTAACTCTAAATGCAAAGATGAAGATAATTTTATATGGTGTACTCCATATAAGAGTTGCTCTTTCTTAAGGCCCACCTTCAAGTCATAAATCTTTATAGAGCACAAGATTCATTTTCCTAATGGCCAAATTCCATATTTTTAAGTCACACCCATACTCACACACAGAAAATGAAGGAAAAAAACCACACCCTATCTAAAACTGTCATGTCTTCAAACAGTTGTTTCTTTCTTTTACCCATGCAGACTTCAGCTATCCTATGATGTGTCTGCTGAACAGAAGGTTTCTCCAGCCTAGCAATTTGAGTTTATACGATTTGTGCAAATGCTTCTGTTGCACCACATTCATTCCACTGTCCCGTTTCAATGGGACTTTTTTTTTTACACAATCTCAGTCGGATACTGGTCCAGGATTCCAGAACCAGCCACCTTGTTTCCTCCTCATCCTCTTTTGCTTTAGCAAAAAACAATTAATTTTGGGACACCTTAATAGATTGTATCTGGCAGAAGTTTTCATGGACCAGAGCCCACTTCTTCAGACATTTTTTTTTTACTTTATTTACCATCTAGCCCAGGGATGTCCAACCTTTCACCTTCCCTGGGCCACATTAGAAGATGAAAATTTGGTTTGTGCTGCACATATATTTGGTTTGGGCTGCATGGGGGGGGGGCAGCCCTAGCCGTCCTCCACAGCCCTGCTCCAAGCGCGCTTACTGGCAGCTGCGTTCTCAGACAGCAGAGGCTGCCAGCTTCGACTCTGGTGGCTTTATGGGGCCGGGAGGGGGTCCACCTATTGACGGGGACGGCACAATGCAGTCACGCAGCCCCTCTGTCCCCTCCCCTCCCACTCCTTCCTTCCCTCTCTCCCCCTCTACTGTTGTGACATGCCTCGGCCACATTCCAGCCACAAGCACCAGCAGTGTAACTTGAAATTTCGGAATTTCTTTAAAAATAAAAAATCGCAATGGGCCTCATTACGAGCTGGCCTGGCCCATATGCGGCCCTCGGGCCGTGGGTTGGACAAGCATGATCTAGCCTAAAGCAGTGTTTTGGAAAACTTACAAACTGTCACATTGTGCTATGACCTTTGTAGGAAACTATTGACTAAATATGTTCCTTAGCCTTTTGTATAACTGAAGGAGTTTCACAGAAAAAAAAAACATTGCTTCATTTATTAGGAATGGGGAAGTCTGCCATCTAGTGGAAATATAAAAAATATCACTTTGAACTTTTTTAAAAGAAGGACTTTATCAACTTCTGGCTGAATCCTCTTGCTTAGTGTAGTAAGTTGCAACAGAGTAGGCGTATAGAATAAGGGGACTTCATGAGCCAACTTCTGCATAGATGGCACTGATTCATATGGTCCTATTTGATTTGCAACTTACTTGAGTGCAGTAATTTGCAATTAGAGGAGGCCCATTTGAATCAGTCACAGGATTTCAGCCATTGCATCTTTATATCACTTTCTAGGAAAAACAAATCTTAAACTGGGAAAAAAATCTTGGTAGTAGCTTATTTTTAAAATGCTTTTTCTGCCATGGCTCTACAATGTTTCAAAAATCAAAACATCATTCTCATCTTAGGCTGTTGTGTAGAATAGCATGTTTGCCGAATAACCTTCTCCCATCTCAATAATAAGCTGGCCTCAGCATTTGTCCCAAGTCTTGTATACCTGCCAATTACCTGCCTTGATCTACAGCATGTGAGATCTAGCTCTTATTTCAAAAATGCAACCTAGTGCCGATAACTGCTATTTATGCCTTAATTTGATGTTTGGGTTTGTAACTTTATAAGGGGTTTAAATAAGACTTATACAAACTGTTGCTTTTGCTGTCATTCATTAAGCATCTTTAACAGCTGGATGACCCACGGTCCCTCCATGTCTCTCCCCCAGCACTGCTGATCGGGCATTAAATATCCCCCCCTCGGTGAGTTGAAGCAGTGATGCTTCCACATCACTAATAATGATAATGATGGAACAGCAAAGTTCATTGGGTTGCTGATAAGGGAGAAATCTGTTTTGTTTTTATCTATGTTTTGTTTTTATCTATGTAAGCCACCCGGAGTAGACATGGTCTAGAGGGGCGGGGTATAAATCTAATAAAATAAAATAAAATAAAATAAATAAATATTTGGCTTCCCACCTTCTAGTGACTAATCCCAAAGGTCTCTGTCCCAGGTGGGCCCAATCCCAATACTATATGCAGAAAAAAATTATTGACCTGTATCGTAGACATATAGTTCAACACAGGTCTGTTGGGCTAGATGAGAGTAAACAAGCAGATGTTAAATTCTCATAAGATGGTGGTGCTCCTGGACAGTTAAAACAAAAAAACTTGGCTTGAGGACTGGAATCCAACTATTCCAGACCATATTCCCTTCAAAAAAAAAAGAAAGAAAAAAAGAAAAAAGAAAAGAAAAGAAAAGAAATATAACCCAACCCCCAAAACTGAGCACACCTTAAACCTGGATTGTCACTGAACCCTTAGGTGGCAGAGGTGGTGAGAGTGCCTTTGCAACACTCTGTATCGTGTGTCGGTTGCAACCTTTCCTGAGCTGACATGACATCGTCGCCGCCATCCACATCTTACTTACATCACATTCTGACTTCCACAATGCTTCCTTGTATGGGCTAACCTTGAAGAGTGTTCATAAGCTTCATTCAGCACAGCACACAACAGTTAAATAGCTTACTGGTGCACAGTATCTGAGATCATACTGTCAAAGTACTGTACTGAAATAGCTGCATTGGTTGCCAGCTGCTCTCCAAGGCTCAATTCAAAGTCAGTAGTCAGGTTCTGTGTAGGATTTTCATTGTTAAAGAAAGGTGCTGCTTTTAACTGTGAAAGCCCCATACAGGACTTGGCTACCGAAGCAACCTGTTACAAACTGTGTAATGGGTACACAGAAGGTGGCCTTCTCCTAGTGCATTTATTCCCTTCAGCGTTGGAATCAATTCCCTGCTTTCAATCTGACATTTTACACAATTTTATGTGTTTGTGAATATATGTGTGTGTGTATAATTATTGTTTTAATGTTTGCATTTACTGCTTTCAGAAATATGGACCATATCCTATTGTGTTATGCATGTACTGTACAACTACTGAGGGACATTCAGGCAAGGGTTCCCCCTGCTTTGGCAGGCTCTCCTCTGCATGCCAGTTTTGTGTTGCTTGCAAGATTGGTTGTTTGATCGATTGTGCAACAGTCAGGCCTGTAAGCACCTGCAGATATTTACATGATTGCCAGTACACGCCAGATACATTAGCCTATGTATTATATAACATGCAATAATATGTTATATATTATTATCTAATTATCAT